TGCTCTCAGGCTTATTGTCAATTATCTCACCTACTCTGTTTTGTTTTTTTTGTTTTGTTTTGGTTTTTTTTTGTTTGGAAACAAGGTTTCTTTGTGTAGCCCTGGCTGTCGAGGTTGGTCTTAAACTCACAGAGATCTGCCTGCTCCTGCCCCCTGCCTCTGAAGTGCTGAGATTGAAGACATACACCACCAGACCTGGTTGTCAGCTCAGGCCCACCGGCCTCTGGGATGGCACTGCCCACAGTGGATGGTGCCTTCTATATCAATAAGCAGTCAAGACAGTGCCCCACAGACGTGCTCACAGGCCAGTCTGATGGAAGGTGTTCTTCATTTGAGGTTCCCTCGTCCTAGGTGTCAAGTTGACAACCAAGATAGCTGTTACAAGTCTATTCCTTGTCAACAAACACATAATTTTAAAACATAACATTTCATATTTAACATCACAGTATAAAACACAGTCCAACTTTAGAAGTCCCATACACTTTTTAAAAATTTTTTGTATTGTCTATGTATGGGTATTTTCCTTGCATGTATATCTGGGTACTGTAAGTGTGCCTGGAGACCAGAGGCCAGAGAAGGGTGTCAAATTCTCTGTTACTAGAACTGCAGATACCTGTGGGTGCTGGAAATTGAACCCAGGTCCTCTGGAAGAGCAGCCAGTGCTCTTAACCACTGCACTATCTCTCCAGCTCTGTTCACGTCTCCTTAAAAAAGTATCCACACTAGGCACCGTGGCACACACCTTTAATTCCAGCACTCAGGAAGCAGAGGCCCATTGGTCTCTGTGACTTCTGAGTCCGCCTGGTTTGCATAGTGAGTTCCAGGACAACCAGAGCTACATAGTAATACTCTGTTTCAAACAACAAAAAAGTTGCAGGCCTTTAACTTGGGCTTCTGTGAAATAAAAAACAAGTTAAATACTTCTCTTCCTCAAACAAAACCAGAGTCCAGTGGTATAGTGCCCAATATGATATCTTGGACTTGTTCAAGATCTTCCTGGCTCCATGGGACTTGAGCAGTCCCATTTCTCTAGAGCAGCCATCAGCCACACACACACACACACACACACACACACACACACACACACACACACACACACACACACACTTGTCTCCTAGGTTCAGGCCAGCTCTGCTTCACACCTGCCATTATTGTCCTTGCATCTCCAGTATCCTGGGGTTGTCACTGCAGCTGAGGGTGCACCTTGATAGATGGCCTCTCTTTGGGGACTTTATCCCTGCCTCTTGGTACCAGGCCTCAGCTGTTCTTCATGAGACATCTATCATTTTTTCAAAATCAGAACAGTGTGGGAGACTTATTGCCAAGTTCCACCAGCTTGATGTCCAGCGTTGGACCCCTGCTCACTGTACCATAGCTTCTGTGCTCCCCAGAAGGCTGACCAGCAGGCTTCACTTCCACAGATTTGTTTCTCTGTGTAGCCCTGTCTGTCCTGGAACTCAGATTCCCCTGCCTCTGCCTCCCAAGTGCTGGAATTAAAGGCATGTGCCACCACTGCCCGGCCACTTCCACAGATTCTTAATCTAAAATGTCACACAGACAGTCCCAGTAGAGTCTTTGTTTCCCTCAGAAACCTCAGAAGTCAGCACGACCCAGCCTTAAAACCCTAGGTTTGATTCCAACAACTTCCCTCAAGCTAACTGCAGGTTATAGATGCTGCTTTTGTGGCTTATTGCCTTTTTTGTTGTTGTTGTTTGCTTCTGTAATTCATTATAGGTTACAGGTGTGTTTTATATAAAAAACAAACCTAATATATCCTGTCTAACAGAAGAACTATGCTTCTGGATAGGGAAAGGGGATGATAGTTTTTTTTCTTTGTAGGTTCATTTCTTGCTTGCTTTTTGTTTTTGTTTTTGTTTTTCGAGACAGGGTTTCTCTATGTAGCTTTGGTGCCTTTCCTGGAACTCGCTCTGTAGACCAGGCTGGCCTCGAACTCACAGAGATCCGCCTGGTTCTGCCTCCCGAGTGCTGGGATTAAACGCGTGCGCCATCACCGCCCGGCCCATTTCTTGCTTTAATTCTACAAGATTGTTGTACTTTTAGCTTTCTAGAACACATGCTGTGGATATAAAATACACTTTGAGAATACCAAAATTGAAACAGACATGTTGGTTCATTCCTGTAATCTTAAGTATTTGGAAAGCTGAGAAAAGAGAATTGTGGAGACTTCAAGACCATCTTGGGCTGCATAGTAAGACTATCTTTAAAAATTCAGAGTGCAGCTGGCTGTGGTGCTGCACACCATAATCTCAGAACGCAGAGAGGCAGAGACAGTGGAATCTCTGTTAGAGGCCATCCTGGTCTACCTAGCAAGTTCCAGGCCAGCCAGAGACCTTGGGTCAAATGAGAAAAAAAAAAAGAAAAGAAAGAAAGAAAAGAAATAGAAACCTACAGAGAAGGCTGGGAATATGTCTTAGTAGAGTGCTTGATACACAGCACTGCTTGGGCCCCCAGTACCGTATAAGGAAGGTGTGGCGCCACATGCCTATGAACCCAGTATTCAGGAGGGAGAGAGAAATCTGAGGATGAGAAGTTCAAAGTTATCCTTGACTACATAGAGAGTTTGAGGCCAGCCTGGGCAGACCCTCTTCCCCAAAAAACTTATTTTCTACATGATAGGACTTCATGTTTTGTGTTTTTTTGTCCAATCATTATCTCAGAGTTTGTGTGTGTATATGTACAGAAAACTTGCTGACAGTAGATTTGGGTCTGCCACATTTGAATGAATGCATTCCAACTCCTACTTACCAGAGTTTACAAGTAACATCTAACACAATAGAAGTTGGAGGTGTGTAACTTATTAAGTTACCCTCTTTGTACAGGCAACTGATGGTATGTATAAAATCACACTCTTGGCACTTAATTAAGCTTTTATAGTTGGGCTTTTTCGTTGGGGAAAAGCTGTGCAAGGGTTTGAACTCATGGAATCTGGCTTATGACTGAAAGAGCATGCTTACCGCTTAGCTATATGCCCACCTTGTAGGTTGGGTTTGTTTTTTGTTGTTTCTAAGAATTTGATTTTTTTTTAATTTTGTGTGTGTGTGTGTGTGTATCTGCCTATATGTGTCTGTGTGGGGTTTGTGAATGCTGGGCAGGTGGCTGTGGAGTCCAGAAGGCATTGGAGTCCCTAGAACTGGAGTTAGAGATGTTCAGGCCCTCTGCAAGAGTAACAAGCACTCTTAACCACTGAGCCATCTCTCCAGTCCCAAAATTGGGAGTTTTAAAAAGGTTTATTACAGTATAATTTATGTACCATAAGAGTCACCCACACCTGGTGGTGGTGGTACATGCTTTTAGTCCCAGCTCTTAGGAGGCAGAGGCAGGCAGCTCTCTTAGTTCAAGGCCAGCCTGGTCTACAGAGTGAGTTCCATGACAGCCAAAAAAAAAAAAGTCACCACCTGATATTGTACAATTGATGTTTTTTGTTTTGTCTTTGAGATAGGGTCTTTTGTTTTTCTGAGACAGGGTTTCTCTGTGTAGCCTTAGCCTCACACTCCTGAGTGCTGGAATTAAAAGTCTTCAACACCATACCTGGCTCAGTTGTTTTTGTTTGTTTATTTTTGTCTTTTGGTAGGTATTTATAGACTTGTGAGACTGTTAGCACACTCCCATTTCAGAACATTTCCTCAGTCTAATCTACTTCATGTCTTTAAAATGTATTTTACTAGGACATGTCAGAAAACCCAAAAGAAAACATATCTTTTCTTGTGTCTTTTTTTTTTTTTAAACTAGTATATTGTAGAAGTAACCGTCTTGTTAAATAAGAAACACAGAGCCAAAGCAGAGATGAAAGCCCAAGAGGTCAGAGCTAAAAACCTTACCCTTCACTGCTGCTACTGTCCTCTTCAGCAAGAGAGCTACTTCCTGTCTGTTCTTTTTTGACTTTCTCTTCTGTCTTCTCATTGGTTGTAAACCCAACCACATGACCTCCTTGTCACTGCCTGTCTATACAGACATCCAGGTCTTCTATGGTTGGTATTGAGATTAAAGGCATGTGTCTCCATGCTGGCTGTATCCTTGAACACACAGAGGTCCGCCTAGCTCTGCCTCCCAAGAGCTGAGATTAAAGGCATGCACCACCACAGCCCAGCTTCTGCTACGGTTTGCTATTAGCTCTGACCCCCAGGCAACTTTATTTATTAACATACAAATAAAATCACATTTCAGTACAATTAAAATATCACCATAGTATATAGTTTTTTATATTTTCTTAGGTTGTATTTTATTTCTTTTTGTTGCTGAATACTATTCTCTTATACAGTTGCGCCACATTTTGTTTATTCATTCATCAGTTGATGAGCATTCAGGTTTGTTTTTGGATTTTGGCTGTTAAAATGTTGCTATAGGGCTAAGGGTGTAGCTCTGTGGTGGATCAGACATAAAATCCTGGTTTGAGGTTTGATCCCCAGCCCACAAAATAATACTGCTGCTGTAATAATTTAACAACCCTCACCCCCACCCCTACCCCTACAGCCCTAAGACAGGGTTTCTCTTTGTAGCCCTGGCTGTCCTGAAACTCACTTTGTAGACCAGGCTGGCCTCGAACTTGGGGATCTGGCTGCCTCAACCTCCCAGGTGCTGGGATTAAAGGCATGTGCCACCAACCCCAGCAGCTATAATAATTCTTTATGTGACTTTGTGTGTACATACTTTTTCCCAACTTCCTTCAGTGAAAATCTAAGATCGAATTTGTTGGATCTTTTTTTTTCTCTGCAGAGCTGGGGATCAAACCTGTCATTACATGTGCTAGGCAAGTACGTTACCACGGAACTATACCCCAAGCCTCTTGTTAAATCTTTAAGTATAGAATTTCTATCCTTTGCTTACATGTCCTCTCTAAAATAAGTTTTAGCACTGAAAAGGGCCGAGGATGTTGCTAGCACTTGTCAATTTTAGGTTCTGCAGAGATGCTAAGTGGGTAAAAATAGGGCATTATCATCATCCCTCAGTCATTTCCTTTTGTCCTTGTTGTCGTTGTTCAGGGAGCACAATACTTGGGAGCCTGAGAAGAACTTGGATTGTCCTGAACTAATTTCTGAGTTTATGAAAAAGTATAAGAAGATGAAGGAGGGTGAAAACAATAAGCCCAGGGAGAAGTCAGAAGGAAACAAGAGGAAATCCAGTTTCTCCAGCAGTGCTGATGATATAAAATCTAAAAAAAAGAGAGAGGTAAGTTTCTCCCCTCCTCCCACTTAACTGTCCTTTTACTACTATCATGCAAAGGGAGGTTTAGTTATTTTTTTGTCTAAGGACGAACCTAAAAGGTATATTGTTGAACCAAAGCTTCCAGGGAAGTATGCTCATTGCCACAGTGACCCCTTCTGGCGGAGGGAGAGCTGGTGTAGCACCGATTCTAACTAAAGTGTCAAAACTAATGTGAAACTGTCTCCCCACTCCCCCTCCAGTGAATAGAAATGTGTGTGTATATCTGTGTGGATGCTGAGGAGGCCAGAGGAAGGTGTTGGATTCCCTGCAGCTAGAGTTACAGGCAGTTGTGAGCTCCCAGAAGTAAGTGTTGGGAAACAAACTTGCGTCCTCCAGAAGAGGAGCAAGCTCTCTTAGCACTGAACCAACTGTCTAGCACCAAGAAGACTCTTAAATGGTTTTTCTTTTTCTTTTTTTTTTATTTATTATATTATTATTATTTTTGGGTTTTTGAGACAGGGTTTCTCTGTGTAGCTTTTGCGCCTTTCCTGGAACTCACTTGGTAGCCCAGGCTGGCCTAGAACTCACAAAGATCCGTCCGCCTCTGCCTCCCAAGTGCTGGGATTAAAGGCGTGCGCCACCACCGCCTGGCGTTTTTTCTTTTTAAAGAAAGAAAAGCAGCTAAGGAGATGGCTCATGAATAAAGGTGTCTCTTGCCAAGCCTGACAACATGAGTTCAAATCCTCTCATATTGTGGAAGGAGAAAACTGACTCCTAAAAAGTTGGCCTTTGACCTCCATGTGCACCTGTCTGCCTGAACACACCAATAATAAGAGTAATAGATAACATGTGTTACTTTGTTAAAAACCAAAACTTAACTGAGCAGTGGTGGTGCATGCCTTTAATCCCAGCACTCAGGAGGCAGAAGCAGACAGATCTCTGTGAGTTTAAGGTCAGCCTGGTCTACAGAGTGAGTTCCAGGACAGCCAGAGCTGTTAAACAGAGAAACCCTTTCAAGATTAATTTTTAATCTTCTTTTGTGTCTATTTACGGATTAGTTTGGAAAGTAATTATGAAGTTTGGCTTGACTTAGTTGCTTTTATCTTTTTGGTTTTTAGATTGCAGGTAGTAACATAAACACCATATTGCCTCTTATTTCTCCTGTATCTTTGCCGTGTGAGTGTTACACAAATGCAGTCTGCCCCTCCGGCTTTGCCTCTTTTCATTTTATTTCAGGGTTATGAAGAATATATCATACACTTAAAATTCAATAAAATAGAAGTATGAGTCTATGTAGCATTCCCTGTTTGATCTGCATTATACTTGGATACCCATTTTAACTCTTAACTCTTAACTCTTGACTACACCTTAGAACCACCCAGAGTTTCTGTGGGTAGAGGCTTTGGGGCTCTATAAAGGCTTGTATATAATTCTTGGCCTCTGGAACTGGGGGCTATTCCTGTCTGGCTCTTTTCTCTGATTAATTTTATTTTTATAACCATTGTTTGTTTGAGACAGGGTATGTAGTCCTAGAGCTTGCTATGTAGACCAGGCTGACATCTTACTCACAGAGATCCTCTTGTCTCTGCCTCCTGAGCACTAAGATTAAAGGCATGAGCCAGTATGCCTGGCTGCAACCTTATGCCAGATTCTGGAAAGGTGTGAATATCATTATGATAAACTATATTGATAAAGAATTTAAGGAACATTTTCTGAGGAAATACCACTTGAAGTTTTTGTGGGGGTTTGTGTGTGTGTGTGTGTGTGTGTGTGTGTGTGTGCGTGCGTGCGTGCGTGCGTGCGTGCGTGCGTGCGTGCGTGCGTGCGTGCGTGTGTGTGTGTTGTTTTGTTTGAGATAAGGGCTCACTCTGTAGTCTTGGCTGGCCTGAAACTCACTGTATAGACCATGCTGGCCTCATAGTCTCTGTCTGCCTTTGCCTTTCAGATCTCCCTGTGCTCTTTTTAAATTTTATTTACATATTTAATACATTTTATTATTTTTCATGTGTGTGTGAGCATGTGTGCCGCTGCACATGTGTGAAAGGTAGAGAACAACTTGGAAAAATCAGTCTTTCGCCAGGTTGGTCTTGGGGATTGAAATCAGATCCTTAGGCTTGAAGCAGGCACCTTTACTGACTAAGCAGCCAGCCTTGTGTTGTTGTTTTGTTTGGTTAGCCCTTGTATTCTGGCTTTTGTTGTTTGGTTCTTTTCTAGTTAAGTTGAAATAGCAAAATGACACAACCAAAGACTTTTAACTATGTATTTGTGAGCGATAGTAAACATTTCTTCAACTCAAGGTCTTTGTTCTATTAAAGGCAGTAATCTGGCTCGGAGTCCCAGGCCACTTCAGAGCGCTTCATGTCTATCTAGGTTCTGGAGCTGCTGACCTTGAAAACAACCTCCACACATCCTTTAGATCATGTTTGTCTTGGGCCCCTGATAGCATTCTGAGCAATACTAGCAGCTGTCAGGTAGACAGCTGGCATGATACGTAGTAGTTATGTATTTTCAAGTATGGGGGAGATTTCATTTCTTTAGACCACTGCAGAAGAAATTTCTTGGTTGGTTTTATGCCTGATTTAAGATTACTGCTGGTGATGATTTTAGTGTTTTCCTTGCCTCGGCTCCTTTCAGCAGCTTGAACATTCGTTTTTCATTTCTCTCGCTCTGTAGTAGACTGTTTCCAGCCGCCAGCGATGATGTATGACTTAGTCCCTGTGCCAGCATTCCAGCTGTGAGCAGCTGTGTTTGCATCTGGGAACCTATTCCCCTTAAATGCCCCAAAGAATCTGTGTCTTAAAAAGCCAGTATCTTTCCGTTGATTCATGGCTGGAATTTCTTTCCTGTTGTGGCTTCTGGTATCTTTGAAGACCACCAGGACTGTGCAAGCTTTTGTGTTCCTATTTTTAAATTTTCATTTATTCATTTATTTATTTGTTCATTGTGTTGGGACATCATGCACTAGTGTAGGTCAGGGAACATGTGGGAGTTGGTATTCTCCATCCACCATGTGAGTCCCAGGGATCAAACTCAGGTTGTCAGACTTGCCTACAAGCCCCTTTGTCCACAAGCCATCTCACTGACTGACCTTTTGTATCTCAAAAGAAAGTAAGATGATCAGAAAGATGTGAGGAAAATCACACACCCAAGATTTGGTTCATTTGGAAAATCTTAAGTTTTTCTTTGTGTTGCTAGTGAGTTTGCATTATCTCTTGTAAATTTTGGAATAGTTATGATGTGTCTAATTTAGAATTTTTTGTTCTGATGAGTGCCATTACATCTGAATCAGCCTCTGCTGTGTGTAGATGACGGAATTAATTACCTGAGAGCAAGTCCCAGTGCTCTTCTCATGAGTTACCAGTTCAGTGGCCTGAAGTCTCAGTCCAGTCCCAATTAATGCTAATCGCCTGTCTGTGTTGCAAGGGGCTGAGCAGACCAGGGGCTCCTTCCCCAAGTATATGTAAACTAGTGTTTGTGATCTTTGAAATTTGCCCTTTTTAGGGTATTGGTCTTGCATTCTTCTTGCCTCTGTTTTTTTACAATATAGATGACTGTGTGAAATTTTAAATCTATTGGTCACTGTTAAGATAAAAATCTAAAAGGTTATGGTTGAGAAAGCATATCTGAAATTAAGAGAGTGAGAATGAGCTTGTTTCGTGTCCCAGGAACAAGAGTAGAGGGGTCAGCTTGAAGTACTGAAGAGGTCCTAAAGGTCAGGGTTACAGGAATGACCAGATGACTCTTCAGAGACTCACGGGGTGCTAAAGACTTCTAGGGTTCCTCCCTAGTCATTTGCAAGGAATACCAGGAAAAACAACTGCATCTTCTTGCATAAATATCTCTTGACATTGTGGTTACTTGTTGATCTAGTAGTATGTTCCTTGAGTTCTAAGGGTTTTTCTGAATTGATGACAAATGATGTCAAGTGATCTTAACAAAGGCTATGATTTGTTGTTTTGAGGAACCATTTTTTGTTTTTTGTTTTTATTCTAATCTCTCCTGTTCTATTTATAGCAGAGCAATGATATCGCTCGGGGCTTTGAGAGAGGACTGGAACCAGAAAAGATCATTGGGGCAACAGATTCCTGTGGTGACTTAATGTTCTTAATGAAATGGTGAGAGAAGTTGGGTCTCACTCTACAGTTATGTTCCTTTGCTATGAAGAAAGGATGTAAAATTGAGAATTCCTAAATTTAATTCTTAACCAACACTGATGTCAGTATTAAGTATTGTAGTTCAGAATGGGTTTGTGACATTCTCAAGCTTTGGTATTATTGTATCATAGTAACCTGCATGTCAGAAAAATAATTTAGGGTAAAATATTTGTAGCCATTCCCTAAACATCTTTTTGCATGGAACTGAAATGAATCATTTGCTGTAAGATTGTGAGCCTGTGACCATGGGATAAGGGCTAAGTAAAACTTCTTCCCATCACTGAGGGTCAGGATCACAGAGAGATGTCTAAAAGAAATTATTTTCAACAAAGGGCATTAAGATTAATGCTAAATAAAGCACAAAATACTTACCAGAAATAGTTACTTCTAGAAGAAAGGAGTACTTCCTCCCTCCCTCCTTTTCTGACAGGGTCTAATATAGCTCAAGCTGGCTTTGACCTCAATGTGTAGTCCAGGATATTGAACTCATTCTCCTGTCTCCATCTCCCCAGGGCTGGAGTTACAGGATTACAGGCATGTCCTCACCATGCCTGACTGGATTTTTCCCTCTCCCCTATCCTTTTTCTTTCCCTTCCTTTCCTTTTTCTTTTAAGATTCATTTTTTGTTTCGTTTTATTTTATGTGTATGTATGTTTTGCCTGAATATATGTATATGCACCATGTGTGTACAGTGCCTGCAGAAGCCAGAAAAGGGCATTGGATCCCCTGGAACTGATGTTACAGGCAGTTGTGAGCTGCTGTGTAGGTACTGGGAACTAGGAACTGAGCTTGGGTCCTCTGCAGTAGACCTGGCTGGCTTTGAACTCAGAAATCCGTCTGCTTCTGCCTCCCAAGTGAACAGTAGTATGCATTCTTAACTGCTGAGCCAACTCTAACCCCTAGGGTGTCATCCTCTAGAGCTAGTGCACTGAACCTGAGTCCTCTGTAGGAGCAGCCATCTCCTTAGCTTTTTCTTTCTTATGTTTTGATACTAAAGATCAAATACAGAGGCTCCACCACTGAGTTATACCTCCAGCCCTGTAAAGATCCCTTTACTTTGAGATCAAAGTGTAAGGAGGAGAACATTCAGACAAATACCTCTGTCTCACTTCTCCTTCTAAGTCTTATGTTCTTTCTTTACAGGAAAGACACAGATGAAGCCGACCTGGTTCTTGCAAAAGAAGCTAATGTGAAATGTCCACAAATTGTGATAGCATTTTATGAAGAGAGACTGACGTGGCATGCATATCCAGAAGATGCGGAAAACAAAGAGAAAGAGAGCTCAAAGAGCTAAAGGAGGGGGGTGGTCTCTGTCATTTCTCTTTGTATATAATACGTTCACCTTCCTGCCTCCTCTCCCTTCTCCCATCCTTTTCCATCCTAAACACATCCATAAAATATGTGCTTATCACTGTGCTTCATGGGAGAGATGTTGGTATTGGTTCTCTTGTAATATAACTGATGGTCGGATTCATAAGTGTAACTCTGTGAAAATCAGGCATTTACATGCTGTGTGTAATTCCCACAGTTTTTCCTTCTACCCTGATCTTTTCCTTCTGCTCCCCTGTAACATTTTAATCACCTTAGAGTTTTTTTGGGCCAGTTGCTTTTTAAGCTGGGGGATTTTATTACAATGATGATGACTTCCGTTTCTTTTCATTGTTATTAGAATACATTGATGACCACCTTTGTTTTGACATAGAAAGGATGTTGTCCATCTTTTAGAAAGCCTATAGCAGTGGCCTACTTGTGTCTTTTCCTGTCTCATTTATCTCTGCCATGAGAATATAGGGTTTCTGGTGTGGTCTTCTGGGCCACCCCTGTCTGTTCTCACTTACCCTTCCGTAACAACTCTGCTCTTTTGAGGGCTTAAAACTTTACATTTAAATCTGTCTAGGCACTCTCTTTAGCCCTCAGGCTTTTGGCTTTTTTATTATCAATCCCTGATTCTGCTTCTGTAAGGTGGCATAAAATGACAAGATTAACTGTGGAGTCTGTAAGCTGTAGTGCAGGAGGATGGTAGGATGAGGCCAGATAGTTGTCTTTGGTATCACATGGTATATATGTGTTCTTTCCTTTCATCCCTCGTATTTAGACTATATCTATTTATGTAGGTGTGAGTGATTGCCTGGGGCTTGCTTGTGCCAAGGTGCTGGGCACCCTCTAACCCTGCCAACTTTTATGGCCTCCCAAAGCTTCCTGTTACCAAAGAGGCATCAGAGCAAATTCACCTCTTAGTGGACTCACATTCCCTTACGTGCCATTATTTTCAATTGGGAATTCTTAGAGAGAAGCCACTAGCCACAGTATCAGTTTTTAAATACTCACAGTAGTACTAATCTGTAATTTTACTGCCTCATGACTCCTGGATTTGCCACCAAGTCCTCAAAGTATTAATGTTCCTCACCTTCTCCACTCTCAGACTTTTAGTTGTATCTTATTTTTAAAACTATATTTTCTTGGAAGACTATCATCTCAGAAAGTGACAGGTCTTGACATTAGCTTTTTGGCACAACCTTCTCACAACAGACTTTACTTTTTGGCTTACTCTTGCTTTGCTGTTAATATGTTCTGACCCTACTCTGCTTTTTTGTCCTTTAAGAAATGCCACCTTCTCTTCATTCTTGTATAGTTGAGGAGGCTGGAGAATCAGGACTAAAAGTAAGGAAATAGCAGGGTTTGGAGCTAAGTACTCTTGTCCCAGCTCCAAGACTGAGGATAAAAGAGTAAATGCTGAGGTAGCCTTAATGCTAGACTTAATCAGCTACTGAGGCTGTTTTTGTTGTTGCTTCTGATTCTTATAACATAGCTGTCTGGGCTGGAACATCCAGCCATTTCTGGATTATTCATGGTAATGAGAGAAGTGGATGGAGTGCTCCAGTCCACAGATGAGCCAAATAATGTGCAAATCATAGACCCATTCATAGCGTTTGTTAGCTTTGCTTTTCTGCTCAGCTGCTGATTGAATCCTGTGTGCTTGCATAAATGTGTCAACAGTTACACTGCACAGTGGAGACAGCTGCTGCAGTGACGAGGCAGACAGACAGAGAAGCTGTGCTTTGAGTCAGCCAGGGAGAGCACCTAACCCATCCCTCACCTCCATAATCCATTGTTCTCTGAAGGAGTTAGAGGCTAGATCAAGGGCTGGATAAGTGACTGTTGTCTGTACTTGAGGAAGGAAGGGAGGGAGGTTAGAAAGCAGATTTACATACAAACAACCAAGGAGAGTAGATGAAAACGGACAGAAGTACGCCAGAGCTCCTGAGTGATCTGAGTCTCTGTTTGAAAACGGGAGGAAAGGACAGCCTGTCTGGGTAGTCAGTGGTAGTGGGCTTGTAAATTGGGGTGACAAAATCTTTTAAAGCCAAAATCTTAGCCTGTGGGCAAACATAACAGTGATATTTGGTACTTGATACTAAGACTGCTGCTAAGAAGCCAGGCCTGGTGGCTTAAGCATATAGCCCCAGACTGTGATACAGGGGTGTTTTATGTTCCAGGCCTTCTGGGAAACTTAGTGAGACCCTGTCTCAAAATAAAAAGTATAAACGACTGAGGATATAGTTTGTTCAGAGTTCAATCCTTTGTAATGCAAAAAAGTCTAGGGAAGGAGTGGCCCTGAGAAGTCCGCAGTGCATAATCGCTGAGACAGTGGATGGTGTTTAACAAGATCATGTATATTTGCCATTGTTTTAATAATCTTTACTCCATCTTTTCGGTCCTCAGTTCATGGTTTTCTGCTAAGTATTACCACAGTGTCCTTGTTCTTAATATTATTGCTGGTTATATCTAGAAATAGAGAACTGTGATTTCAGTATTATCTTAAGTGTGAAGAAGTCAGACACCCGCCTGTGCCTCTAGCATGTGTTGGTGCCAAGTAGCTTGTTTCTGCTAGAGGATGGCAGCCTCAGATAGAAGGTGAAACACTCTTAAACACCTAAGTATATTTTCCTGTGTAAATCCTTTCCAGAACTAATTTTGTGGTATTAGGAATTGAACCTGGGGTAGCTTAGATATGCCAGGCAGGTACTCTACCACTGAACTGATATGTGCCCCATGCCCGACACACACCATTTTGTTGTAGACCAGGCTGGCCTCACACTCAAGATCCACTTGCCTCTGCCTCCTGAGTCCTGGGATTTAAAGGCTGCCTTGGCCTATTGTTGTTTGAAAGAAAGTTTCATATACCAGGCTAGCCCTAACTTGTGGTATATAGTCAAAGGTGACCTTGAATTCTTGATCCTCCTGCCTCTGCCTCCCAATCCCTAGGATTACAAGTGTGTGCCACCATACCTGGCTCTCTCAGCCCCTTTTTAAAATTTTTATTTTGAGACTGGCCCTTCGAAGTTACCTATGTTAGACAGGTATGGTGGTACACACCTTTAATCCCAGCATTTAGGAGGCAGAGCAGGTGGATCTCTGAATTGGAGGCCAGCCTGGTCTATATAGTGAGTTCTAGGCCTGCCAAGGTTATATAGACCCTAATCTCAAAAGGAATATAAAGAAAAGGATACCTAGGCCAGCCTCAAACTTATGGTCTTTTTGTATCAGTTGTGAGGAACCATGCCTAACTCAATATTTTTTAAAGTTAATTATTTTATGTATATGGGATTTCTGTTTGCAGATAAGTCTGTACACCATGTGCATGCCTAGTTCCCTAGGAGACCAGAAGAGAGCACCATATCCTCTGGGATAGGAGTGAGCCACTATGTGGGTATTGAGAATCAAATCCTTGCTCTCTGCAAAAGTAATCAGTGCTCTTAACTGCTGAACCATCTCCCCAGCCCCTCAAATCATGTTTTTTGTTTGTTTGGTTTTGGTTTTTTGAGACTGGGTTTCTTTGTTTAGCCCCTGAAGTTGCTTGGTAAGCTCACCTCAAACTCACAGAGATCTGCCTCTGCCTCCTTAGTGATGAGATTAAAGGAGTGCACCACCACCCCCACTGCCAGGCTCAAAACATCTTCCTGGATCTGAATTTCTTTTTTCTTTTCCTTTTTTTTTTTTAATTAATTTATTTTTTTCCTGTGTAGTTCTGGATGTTTCTTGCTGGCTTCACCCTCTAATAGGCATGTTACCAAGAGCATATTGCCAGCTTTACACAAAAGCAGGGATGAACGGGGTAACCCACCAACTTTACACTGTGCTGTTCACATTCCCACAGCATTAGCATACATCAGTATTGGTTTCATTCAACAAACATTTTGGTTCAGGATACAAGGTTCATCACCGTTGCCTCTCAGAGAACTTTGATAATGGTGTGGGATGAACTGATCATTACAGTTTTGTATAGTAAATAACTACACATACATATAAGTTTCTGGTTTGGGGTAGAACAGTCAAGTGTGTAGAAGGATGAGTCTTGGGTGGGCAGTTTAGTGACAGAGGGCTAGTGGAGCATTCATGAAGCCCTGGGTTCCCACAGGGAAAACCCCTGGAGTGGAAAAGACCTGTGGTCTTAGATGAACTGAGCTTACTGTCCATGGGGAGCATTGCAGAAAATGAAGCAAGTAGGAATGCTGTCCTTACCAGGAGGGTACAGATAAGTGAACACCGAGAACCTTCAGCTCTTTTGGACTCTGCCAAAACATGAATGCCCCTCATGGTTGCTTTGCTTGTGGACAGCATTGCTGCATTCCAGATGCCTTTGTGTGCTGTGCTATGGGTCCTTGTTTTAGCAAGTTGTTCACACTCTTCAATTTCTCACCCCTTTTGAAGAAATCAACATGAGGCTGGCTTTAAAGTCCAAAGCATACCATCTAATGACAGGCTTTGGTTTTTTGTTTGTTTGTTTTTGGGTTTTTCAAGACAGGGTTTCTCTGTGTAGCTTTGCGCCTTTCCTTTAACTCACTCTGTAGCCCAGGCTGACCTCGAACTCACAGAGATCTGCCTGTCTCTGCCTCCCGAGCGCTGGGATTAAAGGCGCCACCACTGCCCAGCGACAGGCTTTGTTAAGGCTTAGGGACTGGCTGCCTCTGGGTCAGGCACTGCCGTTAAAGCTTAGGGACCGTCTGCCTCTGGGTCAGGCACTGCCATTCAGTTCTAAGCAGCACCTGTGTCACGTATGTGAAAACCTTCCCCAGAAACACGTGTCCCAGCTCCTCAGGCTTCATCTGTCCAAGGAGGTGGACCATGAAGCCCCTCCCAGTTAAAGCTCTCATCCCAGTTAAAGCTCTCATTCTGACTCTTGCGAACACAAGAAAAAGATCTTAGCTCCACCTAGATAATTGGCTCACTTCAGAAGTCAGAATTCCCAGGAATTCAACTAACTGTTCTAGAAAGTTAAAATGTGAAGTTTCTTGTCTCTTCTTTGCTTATGTTGACCTTTTTTTTTGAATTTTAATCTACCTCTTATTTTTGTATTGCCACTTGTGCATCAAGCTTGACTTTGGCCTAAGATGGCACTCTTGTGTTGTTGACAGTTCATTCTCTTGCCTTTTCTCTTGGCCCTCACTTCACCTAACATCATCTTCCGTTGCTCTTGTCAGAAATATGTTTTAAAGTCTTTTTTATGGGAAGAAGTAATCCACCGAAGCTGTTTGTCTCTGAGGTCAATGAGAGAAGGGGTCAAAAGACAGTGGTGGAGGAAGGCAGATCCTGCACTGGAGGCAGAAGCTGACAAGGAAAGAGCCATTAATTAAAGACAATTTCAAAGTCAACTGATTGTGATCATTAATGTCACAATAGATCAAAACCTAATTATCACAGCCTAGGTAAGAGCCATCAGTATTAATCGGAAAATCTAATAGGAAACTATTATCAGGAAATTAGGCCAAATTGAATGCAATGAACTTTTTATCATTCTCTTTTTTTTGGTAATGTTCCTTGGCATTGGCAGTTGTGACCCTAACAGTTGGTCCAAGCCCAAATTGATAGTTACACTTTTTTCGAGACAGGGTTTCTCTGTGTAGCTTTGTGCCTTTTCTGGATCTCGCTCTGTAGACCAGGCTGGCCTCGAACCCACAGAGATCCACCTGCCTCTGATAGTTTCACTTTTAAAGAGCTTTTGCCCCCCCCCCCCCCCCCCAGGCTGGCCCCAGTACTTACAGTCTTCCTGCCTCAGCCTTCAGAGCACTGGGGTTTTGAGGGGGTGTGTGCATTCAGGCTTATGTGTGTGTAGGGGGCGGGGTTTGAACTCAGGGCCTTGTATATTCTAGACAAGTGCTCTACCACTGAGCTATATTCCTAGCTCAAAGAGTATTTTGTTAGGGGAGTTTTTAGACAGACTAAATCTGAGCTGTCATTGCTGAAACACTACCCTTGAATTTTCATCACCTGGATTTGTCCAGTGTAATCAGCCATCAGTGGAATATATACATATATCTTAAAGTCTTAGAGTGCCCATGGTGAACATTGTACTGATGTGTTACTATACCATCCCTCAAGTTCTTGTTCAATGTAGAGTTTTTCACTGGCTACTATGAAGGCTGTGGGAGGAAGGGCATGTCCTGCTTTGAAATTCTTAGAAAACTCATAAAAAGATCATTTCCTTGTGTGACAACATTCTCAAGATTAAGTCAGTGTTTTCCAACTCCGACAGGTTCTCTCCCCCACCCCCATAGTTTTAAGATAGGAACATAATGATTTCCCACTAGAATGGGGTGGGGGGAGGGCTCAACTGGTTTCTGTCCACCTTGGTTTGTTTCTGTTTTCCTTTCTGTGTTACAAGTTAGATCTCTGGCAGCGGGAGGAGCCATCACTATATCCTTAAGCTGTATGTGAAGATGCCACCACTCTTGGGTGAGATGAGGCAGACCGTAGAAAAACTGTTTCCTTTGGGTGTCGCAGGAGGAATACCAGACAACAGAAGGCAGTAGAATCATGGACACTTTGCCTGCTTTTGGGCGCAGCCCTGCAGCCCTGCAGCCCTGCTGTGCTTCAGTTGCTCAGTCCTGCTTATTGATCGTATGTGGGAGGGCCATGCTGCTTTCTTCGTGTTTGGAACCTGGATGATTTTACTCAGTTGAAGACTGAAAAATCAATGTCTTAATACTTCACTTGTTAATGAATTTTAGTGTTTAAAATGCAACCTGATTTTCAAAATGGCACTAAGGTGATCTTCAGAAGCAAGGCTCCTTGGGTTACTCCAGGTGAGCAACAGCCCTCATGTAACAGTCTGATGGTTGCCCTCATCTGGCTGCCGTGAGGTGACTGAAAGCAAAATGTTCTAATGGATACTGACTGTGCCAGCCTCCCCACTTGGTCTTAATGGCTGACCTTGGGCAAGTCTTTCCTTTCAATGCCTCAGTTCCCCATCTGTCAAATGGGGTAATAATACTGACCTACCTCATGGGGTGTTGTGAGGCATTACAGATCAGAACTGATGACTCCTTTGGGGTTGCCTGTGGAGGATGCCTTGAGTTGACATTTTTTTAGCCCTCACTGAACTGTTTCCAAGTTTGGAAGTACTTAGTGACCTTGGCAAGTTTCTGCCCCTCCACCCCTCATCAAAGCTGCTAGTTAAGATGTTGACAGTGTTTTGTGAATGTTGGAGTCTTGATAGTTCAGACTATCTTGGGATGTTAGAGTAGGCACTAGGGTTTTGTGCCTTGCATTCACAAAGAGGCTGTTTCAAACTCAAGAATCTTGGGTTAGAGAATCATGAGGCAGGAATGTTACAGTATTTCTTTCTCTGTAGGTTGGGAGTTAAGGACCTATTCCCATGGACTTATAACCACTTCTGTCCATGAGCAAAGCAACCCTGGTAGTTTGGATTTATATTGTTTCTTTCATTTTCCAGACTGGTCCCAGGATAGTGAGATCACTGTTCCTCTGTGCTCCTAAGCCTCTGCTTCTCGTAGAAACCAGATGGTTCAATCAACATAACCCTCCATTTGCCACCATTGGTTCTCAAGGCTTCATCCAGTTCACTGTGTGTGGAATCTGTCACCTCTTTCCCAGTGTCCACAGTCTGACCCTTACTGAGGACATCTTGGACACTTGTTTGCCCACTCAAGAGCCTTACTCTTTCCGTCTCACTTAGGGGCTAAGGCAGCCCCTAGCTCTTCCAGACAGGGCTCTTTCCCTTTTCCCTCCTTGACCCTGGATTGGTAACCTGTGAAAAAGCACAAGGTCCTGGATCCCTGGAGGCACACTCTCCAGTTCTGTTAGGTGTACTCTGCTCCTAATGGGGGTCGGGAGTGGGGGGGTGGTTCTTTGAAGTTCTAGAGGATGGAGAAGGAGCAGTCTCATGTCCTGCCAAGTGGTAGCCAGCAGCTGCCTTACCCCTGCCTGCTGGCCATGTTCCCACTCCCTAGAATGGGCTTTCAGAGACCCTAGAGCTGGCTTTCCTCAGCATTGTGCCATTCTGAGTAGGAAGCAGGTCATACCTTGTAGCACGTGTGTCTGAATGGAAGTGAGACATTGAATTCTCTGTGGACTTTTTTGGTTTGTGGGGGAGTTTTGGTTACGTTTCTTGGTTTTATTTCAGCCAAACTCGTCTGCTTTTGATTTCTTTAAAGGATAAATGTTCTATATATAAGTTTGCATTTTAAGTGTAAATGTTTTTAAAAATAGACATTTATGTCTTTCTACAACTGACATCCAATTCAGACGTCATTCTCCCCCCCTTCCACCCTCTTTCCCCCCTCTTTTCATACTCTTGTATTGATTCTAATAAACGGTTGCTTTTCAAATATGGATCTTGAGTGATGGTTTGAATGTTTGTACGTGTTTTAAATTTGGGTCCTGGGGTGTTAGCTGATAATCATACATTTCTGCCGTCCTCCATTACTTCAGTGCTGAGCATCAAAGCCAGCACCTTGTGTAAGCTAAGTAAGCACTCACTCATTGAGCTGAGCCCCAACCCATTTGTAATCCCATTTCTGAAGCTTTGTGCAAGAAGAGAAGAGAGCTGGCTGACTGGGACCTTTCCCTGAAGGTTTGTTGGTTCCGACTTTATACAAACAACCACAGGGTGGCGCCAACCCTGGAGAATAAGCCGGTGCCCTGTGTCTGAGTGACCCTGCTCTTACTGGGCAGTTGTGAGAGTAAAGGAGCCCAGGGTGCTCTGTGAGTTCTTCACTAAAGCACACCGAGCACAGTCTAAGGTTTACAGTTTATGGTTACACTATAACTGCCTCATCTTTGATTTGCTTCACAAATACTAAAGAAACCTGTGTCCTAAGGACCTGTGGGCCAGAAACGGGGTCGCAGTAGGAAATTGGAGAGGAAAGTGAGGTTATCTAGGGTTTATTGGGCAACGTAAGTGATGTGGCCTGAGCCTGTGGGACTGGGCGGAAGCTTGCAGAGATAAGTGAAGATGGACGGACCCTGGAGCCGAGCCCTGGTTTCTACCAGCCTGTCCCTGCAATTCCACTCTTGTTTTCCTTTCTGGCTGTTGAGTTATAGAGTCTCTGCAGCCTAATCTCGTAAAAGTCTTATGAAGACATCTGTAGGTTGGCTGGCTTAATGGTCCATGACCCCATAAACATGGGACAGGAGAGCCATTTGGTCCACCTCAGAGATGGGCCTTTGTGGACATTATTTATTTCCTACTGAGTACTGGGTCTGCTTGCTCCCTTCCCTTTCTAGTTCTCTCACACCCCACGGGAAGTTTGTCTGCCTTGGCCCATCAGGAATCAGGACTAACTCCAGGGTTGAAGGGGGTTGGATCCTATACTCCCACCCTTAGACAACGGTCTTGGTTTGTGTCTCCCCACAGTGAAGAATGAGGTCTGCTTAACACTCAATTCAGATTAGTTCTTTGTTGCCGTAACTCATCCCCTTGTAAACTTTCAGTTTTCTGGAAAAGTCCAGAAGTCACCAAGCTTGTGAAATGTATGCAGTGCTGGCAGCTGGAGACCAGTGGAGACTCACTGCGGGGGTCTGTGCTCTGCTGGCTCATTGAGCACATAGCTCTGAACTGCCCTGTTGGAGTCAGCAGCCCCAGGCTCTCTCTGCTCTTTGGAAGGAAATGTAAGCTGGAACCATGATAATGAGAGCTGACCCTGATTGAATAGGGGAGGCCATGCCATAGCTCCTGCCCAAGCCTGGAGTGACCTGTGTGTGTGCTTGAGAGAGGAATGTGTGATACTGTGCAAAGCTTCCAACCCGAGTTCAATCCCTGGAAGATATCTGGAGAAAATGAACTCCACAAAGCTGACTTCCCTATGCATGTTGTTTTTTGATTTGATTTTTTTTTTTTTTAAAGGGAGATCTCACTGGATATCGTGGCATGCCTTTAACTCCAGCACTCGGAAGGCAGAGGCAGATAGATCTCTGTGAGTTCCAGGCCAACCTTCAGTGAGACACTATCTGAAGGGGGAATGAAAGGAGACAAGATGAAGGCTGGGGTCAGCTGGAGTGTGGGCATATGGCATGGGCACTCTGTGGCTCTGGGTAAACTGAGTTCTGTGTCAGGTGGAAGGATGGTCTGGGTCTGAGGCACCACCCTTCTCCCTGCCCTACATATTGCCTCCGTGTTCCCTCCCCTCTGCAGCTGTAACATCTTGTTTTCCAGGTGCTGTGCAGGTTCTCCCCCTCCACCCCTTTTTATGGTTTTTGCCTCCTGTATTATGTGTATTTGTCTGGTCCTTTTGTCTTTTTTCCCCCCTCATTTCTGATTTCTCTGCCCCTCCCAATTCCATAAGCAACCTTAATTTGGATATTTCATTTCAACCCATCAAATTATCATCTTTCTTGCAATAATCTGGGACTGTTTACAAGCTTGTTCTATTCCATGCCGCCTCTGGAAGCAGGTGCATGTCTTTCTGTGTGAAATGTGGGGTCCCCTTCCAGACTAGAAGGTGCTTGCCCACTAGCTGCCAGCTCCCTCGGCAAGGTCTTGTCTGATATAATTTGGTTATGAGCCAGGGAGGAAAAGATGCTGATAATTTAAAATGGGGGCTGCTGAGATGAAAGGTTTGGGTTATGACTTTACCCTTTACCCCCTCCTGCTACTGCTGCCTTTGGAGAAAGAAGCGTGTAGGGAGCCACAGCATTGGCCACAGCTGCTGCAGCTTGTGAAATTCTGCCACATCTGCAAGGAGGCAGGGGAGCAGGTGAACACGAGCCCTTGCCTTTGCCATGTAGAAGTGGAATGGACTTCCTCCAGCTATTTCCACACCTGCAGCATCTCCTGAGGCAGTCTGCCTCCCCCCATAACTCTCGGCTTCCTTGTGTATATCCATTCATGGTGGGAGCCAGGGGTGGCCAGCTCCGAAGGATCGGGGCCTGGCTGGCCTTGCTCTAGCTTCTGCCTCATTCAGGCCCATGTAGGAAGCTGGGGATGGAGAGAGTGACCACACCTGCCTTGAGGCCCCTAGGAGAGAGCACCACCACATCCTGTGCAGAGAGAGATGCAGCTGCAGCCCAGCTACACACTAGTCCTGCTCTGAGGGCTTCTTTCTTCCCTCTTCTGCCTCTTCCTTCCTGCTTATGGCCCTTTCTCAGCTCCTGATTGTTCTTTTTCATGTCAGAGAGTAATAAAGGGGGTTAAGGAAAAGGGATACAAGGGAGAAGAATACTTCTTTTTCTCTTCCTCTTCAGAGCTCCAGTGAAGGGAAAATTGCATCCTTCTGGGAATTAGAGTGTCTTCAGCTCTCCTCATTCAGCAATGATGTGTCAAACAGGCATTCCTGACCTTGAAGGACCTGTCAGGGCTGGAGGACTAGCTCAGTGGGGCCGCATATGTCTAAGCATGCATGAGGCCCTGGGTTCTGTCTCCAGCACTATTCCACCCCACCCCAAATAATGACCACTTTAAAATAACTTTTTAAGCCAGGCAGTGATTGCACACACCTTTAATCTCAGCACTCGGGAGGCAGAGGCAGGCGAATCTCCGTGGGTTCTAGGCCAACTTGGTCTACAGAGTGAGTTCTAAGACAACCAGGGTTACACAGAGAATCCTTGTCTACAAAAACAAAACAAAGACAAAAAGCAAGTAAGTGTTCTTAACCACTGAAGCATCTCTCCAGTCCAATAATGGCCACTTTTGAGAATTTCATAACCTTTGGGGTGTCAGTGCCATCTCAGGACAGGGGGTGCCATAAGACTGGAAGTCACTGTTATAAAACTGTTGGATTCTTTGGAAAACAGAGCAGTTTTCTTGAGGCAGGGTCTTACTATGTAGCCTAGGGTGGCCTTGAACTCTTACTCTTTGGCCTTAGCCTCCTGAATGCTGAGAATACAGGTACGTACCACCATGCCTAGTTTCTCTCTGAAATATTTGTTCTATTTATCATATCCATAAAAATGTCCCATTCATCAGCCTAGGGGAGCATGTAGGCAACTGGAAACCTGATGCCCAGCAGAGCCTCAAACTCACTGTGTAGCCAAGAGTAAGCTTGAATGTCTGATCCCTCTGCTTCTACCTCCCAAGTGCTGGGATTCTAGGTATGCAACACCATACCTGGTTTTATGCTGGGGCCTTGTGTAAGCTAGGCAAAAAGTACCCTACCAACTGAGCATCCCATTCCCTACCCCACTCTGACCTCCACTTCTCAAACCTCAAACTAGAGGCGTGAGTCTGGGGTGTGGATTGAAGAGCTGGGTCAAGGGAGGGGAAACTGGTGGGTATGTAAAATAAATGAAAAAAAAAAAAAGAGCTGGGGTCAGTGTAGCTTGGGGACCAAAGTACAAGTCTGGGGAGGAGGAGGGAGAGAGAGAAACAGACTTGTCCCCATGAAAATTAGCAGATGACTAAAATGGGGGAGAGGAAGAGGTGAGAAACTTAGGGAAATCGGATGTGTCATGCATGTTCAACATGTTCAAGGACTAAGGAAGCCCGTAGAAGGTGCATGCCTGGGCTTCTGTGTTTTACCATCCAGGCAGCACCCTCACTTCCTACAAACACAGCAGACTAGAGTGTCACTTCCAAAGAGCTGAGTGATGAATCACCTCAGTATCTGCCCTCCTGTGTTCTAAGACAGGACAGGGTTCTCTCTCAACTCCATGAGCTCCTTGGAAACCTGAAAAATACATGGGTAATTTTAGGGGCCCCTGTGCATCTCTAATGGCTTTCATTTGTACTCTAGTGTGGGGAGATTGGGGAGCTTAGATCCCTCAACCCCCAGGCTTGCTTTAGGCATCCCAGAAAGGGAATGAAGGGAGGGGCAAATACATGGCAGTTCAAGTGGCCACAGGTAAGGATAACTAGTCCCTGTTAGAGATCTCGGAGGCCAAGTGACACTTCAGGTTCTTCCCAACTACTCTGGGTCCCTCACAAAGAAATGTAACATCTGGATGTGAGTGAGTTGGAGGGAAGGATCGTTTGAATGTGTTTGTGCTCATTTGACTACTGTGAATTCCACCTCATCTAAGTCAAGCCATTCGGTGGACATGGGCAGAAAGCAGTTGCCTGGAAAGCTCAAAGCAGCACAATCTGCAGACCATTTATGAAAATGAGTGAATAGTGCTTGGGATGCTACTTGGGAGGGATTTCTCTCCCAGCCAAGAGGAAGAAGTCACTACGGAGAAAAGACAATTGCTCTCTCTCTAAGCTTGCACCTTCGTCCCTAAGCAATACCCACCTCAGCCCTTAATGCAGGCCCTCAAGTCCTCTGTTCTGAGAGGCCAGGGAGGGGTAGAAGTAAGGATGAAAGAGGGAACTAGGGAGGTGACTCAGCTGGTACAATTCTTACCCAACAAGTACAAGGTCCTGGGTTTGTTCCCCAGCACCATATAAAGCTAGCCATGCC